TAAAACCTCCCCCATGGTTGTTAGTAAATTGCCTTAATGTGGCGCAAGCAAAATTAATGCATGTATTGGAAGTGATGCTAATAATGACACTAATTAACTAACTTAAATTCAAAAAATACTATTCTGCCACATTGATAATAAAAACTGCTATTTCCTAAACAGTGAACATCCTTGGTCAGGGCAACAATCATCCAGGTTTCACTCTTTTGTCATGTAATCACCCATGAAAAAGGATTGGATCATGGTCTTAAACTTGCCTAAGAGACACAGAGGTGTCTCCTGTAAAATTAGGAAAATGTGTTTATGGCCCTTCCCTACCACTGCTTTCTGTTGAAACAGAGACCTCCTGTTTATGCTCCCCTTCTTGGGAGCTGCAAGCTAACAGGCTTATAAGTGGCAATGTTTCAGCGTTGCAGATATAGCAGCTTTTACCTGGGGCATGAAACAGCAGCTGGAATACCCAGATTTATTTGTAGCATCAAGTGATTCTGAAATGCTCCAATTCAAGTAGATTCATCTTATACCCTAAATCACAGCCAAACCCATGTGCTACTGTCATTTCTGTACCCTTCTGCTCACACACATTTATTATTTCAAATGTCCCCCTCTTGCTAATAAGATTCATCCCAACTTTATTGTACACATTGTTTGAAACTGCAATACAGGTCATCATCATGTCATCGCACAAGGTATCTTATTATTAGAGAAGCATTTGGAACAGCAACAAAAACCTCTGTTGACCAATGATGAAAGAGCAAAAAATATAAAACAATATATACCATTTTCTGCTGTTTAGCAAATATGATTCAAACACTATAGCCAATCACTGCTGTAAACATACTGCACCATAAATTAATGTAGTCATTGTACAAAAAAACTTGGACAATTTTCATACAAACAGAATACATTTGGAAGAATTACACAAAGATTTTCCTTATATTTTCCTTTTAAAAAAAGATTGTATTTAAGTTCTCAAATATCCAAATACTAATGAAAAGCAGAGTAACACAGAAAAGCGGGGGAATTACTATGGGCATAATATATCTGACAAGTGCTGTTGGGGAAAGGAATAGGGTTGAAGTGCACGTCTCATTTCAAATCACTTATTTTTCATTTCGAATCTTTAAAACCAAAATGATAGCAGTCTAATAGAGCCAGAGGGAACCAAAACTTATTGAAGAGATCTCTGCTCTTTACTTTTCTTAGTTGGAGCACTTATAATGTATTTTTGTAGCTTGCTAATTCCCATGAGGAATGATTACCAACCAAATTACGTGTTAAATACGGTCGTATAGTTTAATGCAGCAAAACATTTTTCTTTTGGTCGAAAATTAACCTTAAAGGTTGGAAATAACTGGAAAATTGGTAGTTGAGGCCTCTCAATCCCAATTCTTCCTGCTGTTTGCCTATTGAAAATCATTTTTCCTTCTTACTCACAAGAAAAGGAAATAAATGGTTTTGTACTTAGATCAACATCAACCAAACTTCCAATAAGTGAAAAATACCATTTTGTATAAAAAAATAGGTGCACATTTGAACTTCAAAAACATGCTTCTAAACACTCCACAAAGGGAAGCAATTATGCTATATGTCTGTATGGGGACTAATGTAACATGGCAGAATGCTTGTGAAGTTACAGATAGCTTTATATTGCCTTTTTTTTTTTTTTTTTGAGACAGCAATTGTGTTCTCATGAACTTTGGAGTATCTGAGCATATAGTTTGGGATGAGTAACTTACATTTTAAAATTCTGTTATGTATCCGACAGCAGGGAAAACTAGAACAGCATTCTACAAAGTCCAATAAACACATGGCAAGTCATTCACAGAACAAAATCTCAGAGAAAAAACTTTCTAGCAGTTGGATCAATGTTGGGCAGTATTATTTAAACAAAAACCTGAGGGAAATATATTTGAACTTACTCTGAGGTTCTCTTACACTCAGTGACTAGACTGATTACCCTCAACTTAATCCTGCTTTTCTTTTCACTACCAGCACATACAGATATTTAGGATTTCCCCACAAATAGCACTGATTTTTTCAGGGACTGACTGAGAACTCTTTTGTAATAGTAGTACAAAAGTATAATCTGTGAGCAGACCTCGACAAACCTGAAAATGACTGAAAAAGCTCATTAGAATTACCCTCCTCTTGACACTTCTTCAGAAAACAAGATATACAATGCGGTACCATTCCTACAGCAGGTGCATTGGGATGACATTTGTTCTGAACATTCGTGGAAAATTTAGAACTGTAATACTATCCAGCTCTGATGGGTAACTGTATTTTTATTGATTTTATTATATTTAAGGAATATTGTAAGAACAATAAAAAAGAAACAAATGAGGAGCTGCCTATCTCATCAAGTGAATTCAAAATCAACCACAAGAATATATTCATGTTTGATGGGGTTTTGTAAGTTTGAAATCAAGGCTTACTACAGTAAAAACAGTGATGTAAAGGAACCTGGCAGTGCTGTACTTGCTTTCCATACAAATTACAAAACACCTGAACTGTTTCAGCAGAAATTTAGGATTGAATACAGTAGAGCATCCCCCCTCCCCTGAGCTCTTTTGTTCACCATTGCTGCCTGCGTAAGGCGTCTGCAGATTAATTCTATGAGCCTTTCATAATTCCATCAGTAGAAGAGAACCCTATTTAACCACCACAAACCCCTTGCATGAATGTTGAGGATAAGCCCAGCTCCAGCATCACACCTGGGATACTCAGACACCTGCATATACAATGTACTGTTTTGAAAAAGTTTTCATACATACAACCATGCACATGTTGACTTCTACTCAGCCTGGAATCTGGTATGGCAGGGCTTGAGCTCACATGAAAAGCAGCCTATCGACAGGTGACTGTGTGAAGATCTCCTCAGTCCCAATAAGCAAACTGTGTGTGTGAATATCTGCTTTGATGCTCTTGGGAAGAGGGCTTATTGTTGCTGATACTGTGGTTTTCTGTTGCATGAAAAACCTGAAATATCTTACTGTTTGAATAGCTGCCTCGGTACTTATAAATGGCAAACAGATATGATATGTGACAACAATATTCTATCAACCTCTGTATAAAGAGATGTCAATGTTTAGTGGAAAGAAGGCATTTGAGAAGGGCCATGTACTTAGCACTAATAATTTTATGCTGCTGCTGTTCTTAAGATGGAATGTTCTTCCAGGATTGAAGACAGAGAGCATTAAACTATTCTACTTCATGTATTTTTATCAAATAGAAAAATGTTAGTAGATTCTGGCTCAATAACACCTGGCACATTTGTGATGAACAGTAATCAAATATGTGTTTTATGAGAAAATAAAGAAGAAAAAGCACAGATGAACATTTCTGAGATCTAAACAATGGAAATAATCTTAGCCAGATTGCCCCAACTTGGCATCTTCCCATCAGGGCTGGGGCCAAAATTCTGGAGGGCAGCAGATTTGGCAAAACTGGTCTTGAACAAGATAAGGTCGAGAACCAACTGTTCTGGAAGAGGCTGGAACAACTGTTGAATGTTTTGGGAACGTCCAACACTGGAATAGCCTGGCTTTATTTTTTGCAGGCTAAAGATCAGGGAAATACTCCCACCTCCACCCCGAGAATTTCACAGATCATTACCTTAAGGTGGCACCAACAAAAAATTACCAGGATGTTCTACTGATCAAGCTTCCATGAGATGAATAGAACATAAGTATTGTCTTGCACTACTCTCATTCATTGTACATAGGGGAACATTTTAATGCACTGTACCCTTTGCAGTTCTCAACGAAGGAAAATGTACCAAATCTTTAATATTTTTGACCCTTAATTTTGAAACTGTAAGCAACTGTAGAGCAACTCATTGTATTTTCTTTGCAGAAATCTGAACCACTGAAATATTAGAGGACTTCAATTCTGAAATCCCTCTTTTTGCCCTCAAGTTACAGGGGAACTTGCTTGATGAATTTTATCAAGCCCTTATAGTATACCAAAAGAACTCAGAAATAAATTATTCTCTTTTAGAGATCTCCCTTTCCTTTTATAACTTGATACATGCTTGCACTTTGGTAATTAAACTACTTCTGCTTGGGTAATTAGACTTGCTCAACTCAGTGGTTTTTACCTTCAGAGTCTATTTTACTGTCGTATTTGGAGTCACAAAGATCTTCTCACCAGATAGAATAGTGGTGACTGATTTAATAGTTCTGTTTCTCTTTCATCATCCTTGCCTGATCTTGTCTCTCTAAGGCATTCCTTCTCCTATACACATCTCTTGTGGAAAGTATCTGACTTAGTGTTCTCTCATCCAAATTACCTGGACTTATCTCCTGGATGCACAGATGGTAAGGGATCTATTATGAAGTGAGGAGCACACATGTGTTCTCAAATTACTTGTCCCCTTCATTCTACAAGCTTATCAATTTTTTATCAACTATTGGAAATCCATATGTCACCGGAACCATACATATTAAAGGAAGACGAGCTGTTGCTTAGAACAAAGATTTGTTGCATGTATTCCTAAGAGTGTTTCCTTTTGATTACTAAACTTGGATATATAATCTTGAACCAGTTATCAACCATTTTCAGGAATACAGGTAGTCCCGATTTAAGAATGAGTTCCACTCCCAGGATCTGTTCTTAAGTCAAATTTGTATGTAATCCGGAACAGTATTATTGTATAATACTGTATAAGTAGTATTGTGTAATGAACTTGAATAACTGTGTATTTAAGTTGAATTTTGCTACAATAGGCTCTGTTCTTAACTATGGGTCATCTGTAACCTGGGCATTCTTAACCTGGGGACTACCTGTACAGAAATGTAATTA